TCTTCAAGAGTTATTCTAATTCAAAATAAACATCATAACAGAATGAATTCAATACTAAATAACAATATTATAGAGAAGAGATAATTCACCGAAGGAAATTTTCTTTTTCTACGATATCATTTTCTAAAGCTGTACAATCGTACTCATGCATATATCATAAACATATAACAGTCCATTATAAAACGATAGGTTATAATTACATCATTAACCTAGTGCTACAAAAAACCCGAATCAAGAATGCAAAGTAGTTGTAATAAACTAAGACAGTAGAAATGTCGAAGAAGGCAAGGAGTTTAACAAGGTGGAAATTGTTGGTAGATAAGAAACGTAAATACTGAGTGTCCACTTGATAGACAGATGGATGTAGAGAAGGTGAAGAATGAGACAAGCGTCATAATGAAGGTGATAATAACAGTAAACTAATTAATTATAATGAAATCGAAAAAATGAAAGTGTTAAGACCATGATAAGATGAGAGATTGAACATACTTCTTTTGCATGTAGAGATCAGGCTTGAATTGATGAATTGCCAGTGCCTCCACTGTGCACAACTGTCGAAGGCATACTCCTTTTGAACTATTCTATCTGAAACGATAAATGACATTAAAGGAGGATTCTGGTTTAGCTTTATGTACGGAGTTGATCAAATGTTCAAGAATTGAACTGTTAATTGATTTACATTCTCTCCTCGACAACCATGCAGTATAGTGCTCCAAAATATGTTTGGAAAGCGTACGCTTTGTGTGGCCTATACAACTAGCTCCAAAGGAGCAATATTATGCTTAAAAAACTGATCAGTTAAACACTCATCAATGAAAGGTAAGACTATGAACATGATTTAGCAATTAGAAACTGAAAACTACCTTCAATTGATTTAATTATGTGGACAAAGTTCATATCAAGGTGTGTTTTATTAAGAAACAGGTGTACTTTAGATACCTTAAATTCCACCTATTATCATCCAACTTAATACCTCCTTGAGATTCTTTCAACTCATGCTAATACCAAAAAAAATATTAGTGGTGGTGTAGTAATAGAGATAAAATCATCAGATATAAATTGCTACTGATTTTGACTAAGATTTGTGAGCGTTAGTCCGAAAGATATTACTAGTGAAGAAGGTGAGTAGTTGGAAACCACTTAGGGTGATGTGTAGTATATAGATTCATGCAAGTCAGCTGGTCAGATTCAGTTGAGCTGAGTTTGTCCAGGTACATCGCCGATGAGCTCGTTTGGACTGTAACCAGAGAAACGGTTATCTGGTGTTTGAATCATTCTTATCTGATTGGTTGGCTGAGGTCGAACAATTCGATCAAACACAACAAACAACGGAGAATAACAAGTATGTCAATAAATAGTAATAACTATCATCCATTATACAAGAAGTAGCTATCGTTCCTGTGTGGCATAGTGGATAACGCCCTGGCCTTTGAAGCCATCGCTCCCGAGTCAAAATCCCGGTGGAAGTAACATCACTCACTGAGAGGCAAGTACATCCAGCTGACGAGTCCCAAACAGAAAGAAATGGGCATTGTGGATTCTGCTGTTAGCTACTACCCCATCATTACTATACTGATTATTTGTGCCTACAGTATAAAAACGAACGAGGCTAGTGAATAAGTAATACACTCGACAGTCTAATACAGCTCCATAAACTAGGTTGATGATAATATCTCGCTGTCCGACTAAACTAAGCAGGGACCCCCAGATTGTATGTCTGCATCGATAAATTACGCATCCACCTAGTGTAACAAATTGGACAACAGTTCTGAAAACCTGAAGGACAACTACATTTGAATACAGTAAGATATGAAAATACCAAACATATAATAAAACGCAATTCTGGTAAGCTACCTAATTGTCTAAATATTCACGTTCTCTTAGATCCTTCCTTCTGTGCGAAAAAGGGTGGGTTATATTTTTACTTGTCTCCCAAATCTGCAGTATTCCTCCTTAGTGACTAATATATTTACTTTAACATTAGCGTTTCCACTTGGAAACCCAACAAGAAAGCTTTCTATAGTGCCCGGAATCATATTTATCAGATATGATCCCATCGAGCTGGTTACATAGGCGATTAACAGATCGATTCCTGAGCATACGGTTAACACTGCTCCGAAAGAATCTACCTTCAAAACCTGGCTTTTTTAGACTATACTTCAGGGTTCGATTCCGTACCATGACTTTTTTTGCTGGGATCCCCGAAGGTGCCGAAATTCCCTGTCTTTTCTCTTCCTTTCTGCATGACTTACCATCTTCAGTTAGTATTCATTTTATCGAATATGCTGATAGCCTGACAGTTCCTACACCAGTCTACTTTTCATCGCATAGCTCCCAACTAAACGATTATCTATCAACCATTGGAAAATGGTAGGTACTCCACGAATGCTCTTCAGCATAATTCTTCAAATCGTCACACGATAAACTTCAATTTTAGACCTGAACATAATTTATGTAAACTGTCTACTCAAATCACACGATTCCCGTTCTATTCATACATGTGTATACTACAAGTGTGATTTATCTCGACGTGAGTTTTTCTTCAAACCACTCCTGATCCTCCTACATCTCATCTTTTATCAAAACAATCTTTCACCCAAATTTCTATATCACGAGGCTGAGAGTAACTGGTATAAATCAGTCTCAGTTTCATGAACACTTGCATCTCGCTTATTATCCTGTATTGTTCCACTTTATTCCTTCTTGGACTGTATGTAACTTTGAAGATCATTAGCAGAACTAGTGATGTACTCCTAAGCCTGTTAAGTGAAACTGTTCTGAACAAACATCTTAACTCGTGTGCGAGTTGTCTAATCAGATGACCAACATCCTCTTCATTCTGAGCACTCCATGTGTAGGTTGTCAGGTCAGGCAAGACTAGGAGTAAGTATATACAACTTTATGCATGTAATACTGAATATAAAACTCTACAATATTGTACTTAGCTCGTATTCGTTTTGAAAGCGAACTCATGAAAGAGTACACACTTTGCTAGTATTTATATATTGTGAATCTAATTACCAATGTGATTGGTTAATTTATTTTAGTTAACTGTGGATTTTCAAGTAAGTTTTAGATGGAGTAACCATTTTTATTATATATACATTTATACTGTTTCTATCCAATTGATACTACACGACATGCTAAAAACCGTTTCTAGTATTCCAGAAATATCTTTCAGATAAATCCATTATTGTTACCAGAAAAACTAATTGATAATGTCAAGTGAAACATATTGAAGGGAGTGCTAATTCTCCAGTTGAACACAGTAGAAGCCTTGGCAATTCATCAGTTCAAGCGAGATCTCTGCATTCAGATAAAAGTCAGTCTAATCTCTTATTTTCTTCTAGTCTTTATGAGATATTTTACTACTGATTTGTGTAATTATGTAGGTTGTTCACTTGTTGATATGGAACAGTACCTACTCACGTTTAGTAAGTGTTCTATTATTTCATCGATTACTACGTAATCACCCTATATTGACCATTTATCAGTTAATTTTTGATGAACTGATAAAATACTTTCGAAAATTAGTATTGAGGATTAGCTAGTGAAATAAAATTACATAACTAAAACGGTCAAATTATTAAAGCGATGACATGGATGATGCAACGATACTGTTCAATGGATAGGTTTAACATGCAACCTGTACACATAAGTTTTGTCTAGATTGCTGAGTCCTAGAGTTTCAATCGGGACTTTTAAATAATGATCATTTTGACTACCTATGAGATGGACGTGATTTGGAAGACAGTATTGATACTGTAGTGGGCGTTGCTGATAACAATGGATATGAGTAGTATATGTTGAGAGGGTGGCAGGAATCATAGAGAATTAAAAGGCAATGGGTAAGGTTTCTGCCAAGAGCAACGCAAGGGATAACGCAGACGTATTACAGTGGATGCTGCTGATAAGAATGTATGAAGAGCAGATCAAGAGAGGAACAGAAGAGGAAACGAAACACATTTGCAAATGACGGGTTGAGTGCAAGGTGTACCATATGTAATGACAACCGTTCCAATTGTTGTCAATAGACATTCTTCCCGTCGTGCTTGTCTTCTGTCTCTTCAATACTAGATGGTGAGTGAGGGTGATACGATGAAACCCGAACCAGTGACCACCAAGTGAGTTGAGACACAGTTGGTGAACACCTCTATTTCACTCCAATCATGAAGAGTTTTATCTGATCGCTGTTATGTGAATTTGTCATGCATAACTGTCTGTTCGTTGTATTCACGTTGACTGCTTGCTTAGTCATGACTTCTTAACCTCAATTGAAATCTACTTAAATGGGAGCATCACATTGATTATCAATTTGCATATCTGAGATTTGTATTGGGAAAGGAAATCCTGACTGCGAAACTATTGTGAATACGACCAAGAGATGATAACACGTCACGAATTCACATGGTCATCGGGCAAAATCCTTAGTGGTTGAAGTGAAATGAAAATCTGGTTAGCACGTAACCCTACGGTGGTTTAAATCTCGCCACTGTCAAAAAACGACCACCAAATGAACAGATAAAACAACAAAAATACAATGTATGGTAATGATGGGTAGTGGGTAGCAGTGGAATCCAGGATGCGAATTAAGTCCTATTTGGGACTCGTCAGCTGTATGTACCTGCCTCTCATTGAGTGATGTTACTCTGACCGGGACTCGGGAGCGATCGCTTCAAACGCCAGGGCGTTATCCACTACACCAACGAGCCACGATAGCCACTTCTTGTGCGACGCATATAGGTTTAGTGTAATTGCTTGTATTACACCGTCGTTGATTGAACCGAACTGATCAGTCTCTGTTGGCATATAGGCTCATATGACGAGTCCCAAATAGGACGAAATGCGCATCCTGGATTCAACTGCTAGCCACTTCCCATCATTACTATACATAATTAAAACACAGGCAATATCGAGGTATCCGCACAGGAGCCCACATGCCAACAGAGACTGATCAATTCGGTCCAATCAACGACGGTATAATACAAGCAATAACACTAAACAAAAATACACTGTAGATTTTACGCAAGTCAACAACAACTGAACCCATAGCAAGACCTTTCCTGAATAAAACTAGAAGAGGCTTTCGGTTGACTTCAATAAACAACAAAAAGCAACTAATGAATAAATGATCAATGTTCAACATGTTCAATGACTTTAAAAATGGATATTGAATTGATGGTGATAAAAAAAAACAAAAAAACAACAACAGGCAGTCATCATGAAAGTGAGTTTTTCTTAAATAATTAACTAAATGAGAAGAGAACACCTCAGAAACACATGCCAATCAAACTGTTAGTTAATGTTATCAATGAAAGATATCTGACAATTCCCATGATATAATGGTATGGAATGGTAAATGAAGTCTTAGATGATAGGAGAACGTAATATATAAGCGTTACATTACTTATGAGTATGGTAATGTTTTAGCTATCACAATAAACAGGATATAAGAAATTCAATGAATTCATAGTAGACAGCCTTGAAAATGTTCTTCTAGTTCAGTTCGTGAGGCAAACATTTGTCGACAACCAGGACACCAAGGTTGCTCCTAAAGAATTAACAAAGAAGAGAGAATACAACTAAATATTCAATAAATTGAACGTAGAACAACATATATCTAGATGGAATTAAAAACAAATGGAGTGTAACGATCATCTTTATCTAGAGCTAAATAAATTATTGTAGAAATGGGTCCTACTGGATGAAGATACTGATAAAAATCCAGTCTTGTGAACCGACTGAGCAGAAATTTGTGTATGTACGGCTGACGTGCATTTCACATCTGTCAAATATAAGATGATACTTTGGGACTGACCTACAACTATTCCCAGTTTAATGATACAGAGTGAAGTAGTGTTGGTCGACCACTTCACTGTATTTTGTCCTATTTATACGACTATGAGTCGTTGAAAGTAGAAAACATGAATCAGTTACAGGATTTCGACTACAGGTATCTTTCTAGCGTTGCTCACATTTGGTAGAATTACTGTGTAAGCAGTGTTGAGGTATTAGACAAATTGATTGATCAGACTGGGTGGCTTTGATATGTACTGTACAAGTCAACCGCCACCACTTACCTCGATGTACCATGTTGAGGGGAGTTTGGATTACGTTGGAAGAGGGTTCCAGTTGATCAGATCAAGATATGATACCAGTTAACAAAGTCTCTTACTGTTGTTATAAGTCATGTTGGGAGATGTAAAAACCATCTCGTTGGGGTCCCTAAGATGATAGAAATCAGTAGTTGATGACATGGCTGAAAATCGATATATATTCACCCCTTCACATCTTTATGTGTACAAAAAAAATTTATTCCAACCTTGTTAAAGTTTGTATTTTTATCAAGATTAGGATCAATTATATCATTCTTTCTTTCTCTTTGGATCTTTTTCAAATTTAATCCCCTTTTCTCTCGATGATTCTTATTTTTCTTCCTATTCTTCAGTTTTGTATAAATTGACTTGACAAGGGGGAGGGCAAGCCTGATGGTCGTGAGGACAGTTACCCAACGATGACATTGGGTGGCGGTTGAGCTATATCGTGAGCTAACACAAGTTGGAAATATGGACCATTGGGTTCTGACCCAGTGGCCAGCTCAATGGTAACCTGCTGGCCACGGAACTTGAAGGTCGCCGGTTCGATCATTGGCTGGCGGGGTCGTGAGTGCGCACTGCTTAGGAGTCCCATACTAGGACGAAACAGTTGTCCAGTGTTCCCAGGTTTCCTTTGTTCCTTCAACAGATGTCAGTCTACGATGAATAACAACTTGAAGGAACTATGTGATCAAAAGTTTGAGTAGCTTGGTAGTAGTACTTGTAGCCTTCCTCACACAAATGGTGTGTCTCATTACCCACTGTACAGACGTGTACAACGTAGCTCGACGCATTTTCTTAGTTTCATTCATGTGATCAAATCAACTTCGTCTTCTAATTACACTATCTAAACTCATAAAAGGGACTAATTGTTTCAAATAGCTCGTTAACAAGATTTAACTACTATATTTGAAAATGGAAACAATTGTGAAATATACAATCAATCTAATTCGGGGGTTTGTGGGGATTTAGAGATTTTTCCAGTTGATATTCATCATGGAATGACATCAGTTGGAGGAACGTTAAAAACCTAGGAGCATTTGACACCTGTTTCGTCCTAGTATGGGACGCCCACGACGCCACCTCGCTGGGGGGTCGAACCCACGACCTTCAGGTTCCATCGTCAGCACGTTACCATTGAGCCAGCCACTCAGTCGGAATCCAGTGGTCCATATTTCTAACTTCTGTCAGTTCACGACATAGTGCGACCACCACTCAATTTCATCGTTGAGTAGTTGTCCTCACTGTCACCAGGTTTGTCCCACTGGTCACAACTTCTCATTGGAAATTCGACAATCACCTCACGAAGCTAGTCACAAATGAGCACTAGTTAAATTGAATTTAGAGGTTTGTGGGATTAGAGCGGCGGTCGCGCTATGTCGTGAACTGATAAAAGTTGGAAATATGGATCACTGCATTTCAACCCAGTGGCTAGCTCAATGGTAACGTGATGGCCACGGGACCTGAAGGTCGCAGGTTCGATCCCTGGTGAGGTAGTGGGTGCGTACTGCTGAGGAGTCCCATACTACTCGGACGAAACAGCTGTCCAGTATTTCAAGGTCTTCAATGTTCCTCCAACTGTAGTCAATCCATGATGAATACCAAGTAATCTAATTCATCAAAACATTAACAAATTTGCTGAAATTAATGTATGAGTGCCTGATGGAACTGCCACACTCTACTAGGTGGAAAAACAATCTGACCAACCGGATGAAAAGATTACTTGTTCGTTCTGAAGGCAACAGCCTACAAAATGAAGGCAGAAAAAATCAAGTACTCACATGAGGTGGTAAAAGATTAAGTAATAAAATCAGTAACATATTGAAACCGAGTTGAGTCAAAATGCTTTCCGTAACCTCGTGCACGTTTGTGCCATAGGTAATGAGCTATACCTCTACTATGTGATGGCTAATGATCTTACTCAATGGCTCCCAAAACTTCAGTTAATGGAGTGGGATTAGAACACATAATCCACAATGGGTTGAAAGTCAACTACCTAAAGCAATTACTCACAACCTATTCACACAATTACATATTACATAAAACTGTTGCGCACGGATAGAAAAGGCTCTGCTGGCTTTTGCCAACTTATACCACCTACGGCGCCACCATGATATCCGATTGTCTATTAAGGGTCGCGAGTCTATCCGGTCTGTTCTACTTTATGGCTGTGAAACATGGCCATTGAAGGTGGAAGACAGGAGAAGGATTCAGGCATTTACCCACCAATACCTTCGTAGTATAAGCCGTATTCCGTGGTGTCACCATGTGAGTAACACAGAAGTAAGACGTAGAGTTTCAGGGAGAATAGGTAAGTCAGCTGACGAGGTTGTGAACCTCCATCAACTGAGACGGTTGGGATACGTATTACACATGCCTAGTCACCCATTGCCTCGTCACACATTTTCGGCCGAAGTAGGTTCAGGCTGGGAAAAGGCCCTAGGTGACCAGACTAAAACATGGCACCAATGTATGAAGTCTCTGACTGTTGGTTTGAACCATGTGGGGTGTTGTAGACTTGCCGGTTGTGATCCGTGGGACAAAAGGAACCAGTGGTTGGAGACTGACTCTAGGTGGTATAGTTCAGAACCGGTATCAGTGGAGCAGATGTATACATACATTATCCTCATCTTAACGACGCTATACAGAGTCTCACCATTTTCTCATTCTTCCGTTCTCTCTTCTCGTACTTCATATTTCTTTTGACTGCATTATTTTATCTTCATCTTGCACCTCACTGCCTTTCTACTTGATGTACTGATATGAGGTGTGGCCCACCGGGACCGTTACACAGTAATGCTTAGTCCTAAGTTGATACTGATGATGATGTTGCATTATATCAATACAACAGTAAGTAATATAGAGAAAACAACTGTTGAGACTCAGTAAAGCTCTTCACATTTGTATCTAGTATTCTGTTTTCAGATTACAATATCATAGTAATTATTAATTGATATGAAGCATGCATACACCAGAACAAACATCATAGTTCACAGAAATTTGAGGGGACTTCAAGTATTCTGATAGTTCAACAAATTAATTCATTAATAGAGATGATAGTATCACATTAGTTCATGCATGTTGCGATTACATGTATCATACAGTGAAACAGTATTATTTACTGATGATGCACCAACTAGAGTTTATTGTGCATAAACATAACAAGGTAATTACAAAATTTTACGGTCTAGTTTTTATAATTCTATAGTGTTCCACTCTTTGATTCTATTGGTAGACTGGAGATGGGTGGTAGGTGGGGGTCAGTAGTGGTGCTTAACCCTACAAACTCGTTTAGACACAAATCCTATCAAGCAAACAATTCGGTTCACCGGATTCTATGTAATAACTGTCAGACTAAATATGCAGGTCAAAACTTGTCAAACACAATTACCAAGATAAACATAGAAAGGTTGACTTTAACAATATATGAAGTTTAGAAAAGAGCTGAGTTATGGTGACGCATGGTGTTACATATAATCGTCCAGTAGGATGGAATAGAATGGCAATTTAAAAAGTTAGACAAGTGGTGAGAGAGATTCATAACTGAGGCAGTAGATCTCCACACTGATTATTTCAGATTAATGAGGTCCGGTTTTGTTGTCTTTCCGATCATGGCTGCTTTGACATCCTCATCTGCGCCTGTGCCGCCTGTAGTTGAAACGATGCTGCCTAGGTAGGTGGGTAGATAAAAGAGAAAACTTCCTTAAGATTTCTCCCGTTGATAGTGATTGGTGCTTGTTGTTGGTTGAGTATCTTCATCACCTCTGTCTTCTCTACGTTCACTTGAAGGAAGTCTCACCTTCGCTGACTCGCCTCGCCTCTTCTACCAACTTCTCAGGTTTCGTCTATAGATCTTCGAGTTTGTGCGACAACACATTAGACATAAAACATCATCGTTAGCGAAATCTAAATCTTCTAGGCTCTTTTCATCGGTCAAATAGCGTATGCCCATCTTCTCGCTACTCACAATTTGTTGCATGACCCAATCCAGACCAGTCCAGTCGACCACAATCAGGAAGATGATTAGTGATACTAGGCGGCAACCTTGTCTTACTCCTATCTTCACTTTAAAGGCATTATTGAGCTCTCCATTGTGAATCAATGGAATTCTATGTAATAACTGCCAGATCAAATATACAGATCAAAACTTGTCGAATATAATTATCTAGATAAATATAGAATGGTTGACTTTAACAATAAATGAAGTCTAGAAGAGAGCTGAGTTATGGCTAGACATGGTGTTACATACAATCGTGTAGTAGGATGGAACATACTGGCAATTTAAAAAGGCAAGGTGGATAAGTGGTTACAGATATTCGTAACTGGAGCTTTTTTCGTATCGAATATGCACTTGTAGTCGGAGGAATGATGCAACACCGATTCCGAGTATGTGAAAAAGTTGACTGTTATTATTATTATTTTATTTGTCCTTTGAGTTCCAAGTGAAACATAAGGCTTCAATAGCATGTCTCCGCTACACTCTGTTCCGAATATGTGAAATTTTTTACCACTCGCTTGAATCGAACAGTGAAAAACAATAGAAGTTTAATAATTTGACCAGAAAGTTGTGTGACCACCTTGACACGATTCTGAGCAATAAATTCTGTTCCAAACGTTATGACTTAAAAAAAAACTACTGTTCCATTGTGTGATGCACATACGTTAGACCTAGAATATGCAGATGACATTGTCCTGTTAGGTGAAGACGCTGAAAAGATTCAGAGTCTTCTGAACACTTCGAGTAGCAATTTGACAATGTTTCGGATGCATTTTTCACAAACCAAATGCAATTTGTTACTCCAGCATTGGTCTTCAACGGTGCCACAACTAACAATACAACGTGAAGTGGTTGAGTGTGTTGACCACTCCAATTACCTGGGAAGTGGGATCAACCCTGACCTGGAGGTTCACTGGCCACTGAAATCTCCACACGAACACAAAAGCCTCCGTTAGCTATCACCAACTCACGTCACCTGTGGCGCCACCATGATATCCGACTGTATATTAAGGGTCACGTGTACTGTACAGCAGTCCGCTCTATTCTACTGTATGGCTGTAAAACCAGCCACTGAAGGTGGAAGATATGAGAAGGCTTCAGGTGTTGTTTGACAACCGTTTGCTTCGTAGTATAGACCGCATTCCGTGGTGTCGACATGCGAGTAACGCAGAAGTCAGGTGTAGGTGTAGAGTTTTAGGGAGGGAGAAGAGGTAACTCAGTTGATGTGGTTGTGAACCTTCATTGATTGAGATGGTTGGTTGGGACGCATGTCACGTATGCCTAGTCGCTGGTTGCCTGGTCACTCAATGTTGGTCAAAGTAAGTCCAGGCTGGTAAAAGGCTCAGGGCGACCAGACTAAAACATGGCACCAATGTATGAAATCCCCTGACTGTTGGTTTAAGCCATGTGAGGCGGTGCAGACTAGCCGGTTGGGGTCGGTGAGACAAGAGAACCCAGTGGTTGGAGACTGACTCTAGGCGATATGGTTCAGAAGCGATGTCAGTGGTGCAGATGTTTCCCCACACACATTATCCTCATCTTAACGATGCTATACCGAATCTCATCATTTCCTCATTCTTCCTTTTTCTCATTTAGTATTTTATATTTTTCTTGACCGAATTTTCTTTTCTTTATCTTCCGCTTCACTGTCTTTTTATTTGATGTACTGATATGGGGTGTGGCAACTCGGACCGTTATCCAATAATGCCTGGTCCTATGCTGATTTGGGTGGATGAATTGTATAACTGTGACAGCGCTATGTAGCAAGATTTACATCCAGTGGTATGATTCAGTAACTGTCCTCATCTACGACTTGGTTGACCCCACCGGTCACGAGTTTGAGAATCACCTCTCGAAGCCATTCATCAATGACGGTTTGCGGTGATTTATTTATTGATTTCAGGTTAGTATTCATCATGGATCGATAATCCCAATCACACAATGCGTGTTACCATTTTAGTGCCAACAAACCTAGTCAACCAAGATGACACACTGGAGTGAATAGAAATACAACAATGCATTCATCTACAAAACCTTTCTGGCTGCTTACTAGACTTTGACTATTTGTCAAAGGATGAGTTGTCCCCAATTATGCAATTTAGATCCTGCCCTTGGGGTACATAAGTCAGAGCCTATTTAATTATCTATTGTAATATTTACACACAGGTTACATCTTTTGAGACTTATGACAACCGGAAAGTCATTGCCCCAATGTCAATATCATCGGTTACGTAACTCAGTTTAGTGAAAATTTAATTTCTTACAGGGTGATTGATTGAAGGTATAACTAAGTTAATAAGGAATAACGATTCAAAATTACGGCCAAAACAGGCTGGCTAGCTGGCTTCAGGAAAAATAAATCATGTGCAAATCAAATTGCAGCGCTACGCATCATCATCATAGAACAGAGCACAGAATGGCAGAATGCCACCTCTTTACCTCAACTTCATCGACTTTGAAAAGTCCTTCGATAACGTCAATCGAGAAGTAATTTGGCAGACAGCTGCTTCAATACTATGGGATTTTAGTGCCACAAACCTTTGTCAACCTCATTCAACAGCATATATATGCTATATGATGCTACATGCCAAGTGATTCACAATACAAAAGCTCAGTGATGCCTTCAAAGTAAAGTGAATACAAGAGTACGACAAGGTTGCCGCCAACTATCACCGATCATCTTCATGATTGTGGTCGACTGAACCGGATCATGCAACAGACTGTGAGGAGCTGTGAGAAGATGGGCACACTCTGTTTAACCAATAAAAAGACCCCAGAAGAAGATTTGGATTTCTCCAACGATGATGATTTATGTCTAATGTCTTGTCGCAAAAACTCAAAGATCTACAGGTGAAAACTAACAAGTTGGTAGAACAGGCAGGGCAGCGAAGATGGGACTTTCTTCAAGTGAATGTGGAGAAGACAGAGGTGATGATGATACCCAACCAACAACAACAACAAGCACCAATCACCATGAACGATAGGAATATAAAGGAAGTTTTCTCTCTCACCTACCTACACAGGCAGCACTGTCTCAACTACAGGCGGCACAAACGAAGATGTCAAAGCAGCCAGGATTGGAAAGAGAGCAAGACAGGCGTTCATTAACCTGAAACCAGTGTGGAGATCTTCTGCATTCAGCACAAAGTGTGAACAACATCCGGACTTTCAACACCAACGTCAGCCTAGTCAATGCTTCTGTGTGATGGTTGAGAGATTTGGTGCGTGACCAGAAGCATTTCAACAAACTACAGATATTCATCAACAGCTGCCACCTATGCTAGATACTGAAGATCAGACCAGAAGGCAAGGAAGAATAAGCAACAACGAACTCTGGTCTGGCAACGAACCAACCAACCAACAACCTATCGCCCAACAAATATGCAGAAAAAAGTGGGGATGGATTAGATTGTACATACACTGAGAAGACCGTTTGGGGACAACACACTCCAGGCCGGGTCGTCGAATAGAACCGAAATGGGAAACGACAGGTTGGGTGGCCGAGGGTGACATGGAGGAGATTGTGTGAGGAAGAAATGAAAGGTAATGGCCAATCGTGGAGCCAAGTTAAGAAGACTGCAGAGAAGAGAGTGCAATGGCAACGTGCTACTAAAGCTCTGTGTTTCACTAGGAAACGAAAGGCCAAATAATAATAATAATAATACTAATGTAATAATAACAATTTAAACGTGGGCTAAAGTAGTTTGACTGTAAACGTTGATTCTAAACCACAATATGCACATACATATCAGAACATAGTTCCTAATCATCACCTAAGTGAATGCAGTAGTTTAGGAGGAGGGACTTTGTAAAAGCAATCAATAATAAGCATGAATTAATAACTTACTTCATGAGCAGAAAAGCTTGGAGTAGAATGGCGTTTCACAGATTGATTGAAATTGCCTTCAGAAGGATTCAAACCCAGTTCGCTTAACCATGATCCATAATCCGAAGGGATTTCCATATTAACAATTTGCTGTATTTGGCGGCGAACAAAACCACCAATATAGGGGAAAAATGAGGACATCAATGCTTTAGGCTCAGAAGGTGTTGCATCTTTTCTATATGACTAACAACCAAAATTTAATGTACCAGAATTTCAGTATGCATACACATACATACACAAGTGTTATCTAAATAATAATCATCATGAATGATAGAGTATATACAACTGTAAGCTAAACAGGTTTATGTGCGCTCTCATTACTAAAATAGACAGTGGAAAGTTGGTTAAAGGCAACTGTTGGTAGGGGTTAAATCTGAACAGGAATCAACAATCACTAGTTATGTTGTCACTTGTATTGATCTGTCTCTTGCCCAAATGACTCGATACTCTTTGTGTTTCAGTCTCTGATGTGGCCGGAGAAGTTTTATATCAGAGACTCTCTAGAGTGATTAAGAGGACCTTCTACGTCGTACAGCTCTGTCTATCATTTTTCAGTCGACCAATTGTTTCTGCTCAGACAATTTGTTTAGTTTTGTTATTTCTATGAGCATCTCCAAGTTTAAAACACAAAGAACAAAGATATGCCGCATAATTCTATTTGGAGATTTTATTAATTGATTCTACGTTGGAATTCAACATAAACTGACATCAGTTAGAGGAACATTCGAAGCAGTGAACAGCTGTTTCGTCCTAGTATGGGACTCCTCAGTAGTGCACACACCCCGATAGCGATCGAGGAATTGCATACCACTACAAAACATATGGCTGTCCAGTGCTCTCAGGTTTTCAATCTTCCTCCAACTAATGTCAGTTCATGATGAATTACAACCTAGAAGATGCAGTATAAAATGAATTCAGCTAATTTCATCGTTTCTCATGAACTGTAAGCAATAAACACATAAGGGAGTAATTGGTAAGTAGAGCCATCTTATTATTATCATTAGAACGTAAATATGGTCCAGTAAGGCGACACCAAGAAATACACCACACAAAATAGTATAACAACAATGTGAAGACATACACGATGCAAAGTGAAGAAGAAAGAAAGAAAAACAATAAGCATAGCATGTTTAGATGGCCAATCCAATAAGACCCATTCAAAACAAAACACTCATCACTTTTCAGCACCAGAACATAGATGCAACCTACAGCATGACCATCATTGGTTTCCATTCTCTGTCACATCTGATAACATCTCAATTTCATCCCACCACACACCACACCACCCCACCCTACATAGGAAGTCGTGACTCACCAACAGATGTCAACCCCATACAACCACCCCTCATCCCATGGCGCCAACTCATAACACTCAACACCCCTCTACTTCTTCCACACAGTCCAAAGGCTAGAAGACAATTGACAGTGTAAAAGCCGTTGCGACAACATGTCGAAACCACCAAACCCGGTGTTTCCAGATGACTTCATTTGTTGAGTGACAATCTCCATCATACCCAAACACATGCTGTCCTACCTCGGAATTACTTACATGCTGTTGCCATCGGATATGAGCAATCCTACGGAGACAACGATGATCGAACATGATGATCGCACATCCTTAGCTCGGAGAGACCAAGTTTCATTGGCGCAGAGCAGAACTGCTAGCACCGAAACGTTGTAAACCTGACCTTTTACGTTAGACTAACGTCATGACGATGTCAAACGTGGCCCAGGTTGACGTATGACATGCAATTGAAAATTTCGATACTAACACATACACGATACATACACGAACTTTCCGACTACTTCTAACGGTTAACTATCAAGGGTGGGCGCAGGCGGAGGCTACTGCCAATCTTGCAAAAGTATGTCATACTTAAATGGTGCAAAGCACATACCATACTTACGAACTGGCTTAATCCACGTTCTGGTAGTCACTTCAGTTGTAGATTTACGACGTTTCTTGTGATAATTATGTCACGTGCACACATATATGCAACTAAGACCCGACGGCTAGTGTCTAGAGTTATTCTACTTTGATGATCACTTCTTTGACCTGTCAAGTATAACAAAAAAGACTGTTGAGCATAACACTCATCACTAGACTTGTCATCTTAATCAGTAGGTTGTATGACAATTACGAGATTTTTAGGGAGATAAACCCTGAGGAAAATAGAGCGTGAACGCATACACCAGCAGTACATCTACGATAAACTTGAATCAAAAACAGACGCAATGGTAAAACCTGGAACGTATTCAGCATCATACATGTCAACTTCTCATATACCTTCATCTGAATACAAAACTCATAGAGGCGTAACACAATCGATCAGTACACATTCAAATGCATCTTCCGACAGATTAGGTCGAGTCCTCCATCTCTAGTGAAGGGATACGCTACTTTCAAGATGTATAGCCATGAATATTGTCAATTAAGAAACAAGGGAGAAAAATTAGTAACTAAAAAACTCTGGAGAATATGCAGCATTCTGAACTGTTGACTGAAGAAAATGGTACAGCAGCTTCAATCATTGGAACTTCCCTACAAACTGGATATTTGCTACTAATCATTTTCAAACGATTATAAGAATGAAAAATAACTCACTGATCACTCCAAAACAATATGAAAAATAAAAATGAAACTGACTCGATCTATAATTCCTCAACTTCATAGTCTACTTGTCTGTCATTATTAATCTGCTGCCAAGTGGTTAGTTAGTTGAACTTCCCTCCCAAAACTTAGGTCCTGATGGTGTTTCTAGTACTATATTTAGAAAATGTGCAGATATTTTGTGTCATCCCCATGCACATATCTTCAATGCATCGTTTCCTAAAAACAGATCAAAATTCTACCTGTGCCTAAGTCATCCTCTGGATCAGATGTTACTTTCCGACCCATTGCTATAACAACCACCCTTTCCTAAAGACAATGGAGAAATTACTTCTCCTTGTGATTGACCTTTCATTGATGGCTTTCAGAGATCCAAAACAGTTTGCTTACAAACACAGGAGAAGTACTTTGGATACTGCCACTCTCTTGCATCATAATATTGTTTCTAGTCTCGACAAGGGTGTTAAGTATGTTGGTTGTGGCTTTTTGGATTACTCATCAGCCTTTGACTCTGTTCCCAGACCACTCTCGTTAAATAAGCTTGTCATAGCTCATACTGAGCCATGGGTTAACAAAGTGGCTGTATTATTATTTTTCTGAAAGGAAACACTACATTGTCTACAAAGGGGAGCGCTCGACTTCATTGCTTACTTAAGCTGGTATGCCTTAATGGTGCTGTACTTTCTCCTTTTCTGTTTTCGTTTTTTTTTGCACGATTTACCACCTTATTCTGTTGAAACCAATTTTATTAAGTATGCTGATAACCTGACGGTGTCTAGTCCAGTTAACTCTTCCTTGGATTGCTGTAAATTAAATGAATTCTTGTCTGTAGTTGGTTAGTAGTCTCTATCAAATGGTCTTAAGTTAAACCCTTCTAAATGTCAGACTGTTAATTTTAGCCTCAGGTGTAAACAAGACTTATGTGAGCTGCTTGAATCTCATAACGCCTGAACTATCTTGGGTTGAGTTTTACTTCTGGCTTTTGTTGGTCGTCCCATATTTTGTTGACTTGTAAAAAAATCTTTCGTTTAACTTATTACATAAAGAAACTGAAACTCTCTGGTATAACTCAACTGCTTCTTTTACAATTTATTAATTCCTGCATTTTACCTATTCTTCTATATTGTTTCCCATTAGTCTTTCCTGGTCTTCTAAAAAAGAGCTATGTTATGATGCGTAGGGCTTTGAAGGCCGTCAGCAGGGTGTGGTGTGCCTCTGGCTCAACTGATTAACACTGTAGTTGATAAACATATAAATTCTTGCAAGCAACTAGCTATAGAAATTTTAACTGACACTGAGCATCCACTTCATTCACAGCTCTCTCTCTCTCTCTCTCCCTCTCTCCTTAGATCTCCTCAAGGAGGACAAGGAGAAACTATATAAGGCTATACGCTCGTACAGCTAAGTATAAGAATTCAACTGTACCTTACCTGGCACGCATATTTTGTGAGGAAAAAAGTGTTAGAGCAGAAATCATACATTAACTTTGTAACAGTTAACAATCCCATCTCAATAATTGAACTAACAATGTAAAATTTTCTCATTTTTAATAATCTTTACGTTATGTATAGTAACGATGGGCAGTGGCTAGCAGTGGAATCCAGCATGCGCATTAAGTCCTATTTGGGACTCGTCAGCTGGATGTACCTGCCTCCCAGTGAGTGATGCTGTTCCCATCGGGACTCGGACTAGGGAGCTATCGTGGCTTGGTGGTGTGGTGGATAACGCTCTCGTGTTTGAAGCGATCGCTCCCGAGTCCGAATCCGATAGGAACAACATCACTCGCTGGGAGGCAGGTATATCCAGCTGACGAGTCCCAAATAGGACGAAATGCGCATCCTGGGTTCCACTGCTAGCCACTGCCCATCATTACTATACATAATTGAAACACAGGCAATATCGAGGCATCCGCACAGGAGCCCATATGCCAACAGAGACTGATCAATTCGGTCCAATCAACGACGGTGTAATACAAGCGAAAATACTACTTCTTTACGTTACCTGAATGGTTGTAATGAAACAATTCGAGATGTTGTAAAGGAGTATGTACATCCATATGTTTTGTTGTTGTTGTAATATACCATGCTGAGAATTCCAAATTGTACCACAAATTGTTTGGAATAAAGCGGATTATTATTATTATTATTATTATTATTATTATTATTATTATTATTATTATTATGACCATTACAAACATTAAGGAGGCGAGTCTGTCAACATTCACTGAGTGATACATTTGAATTTGCTGAGTGTATTAATGGTTTAAATCCCACTGGTAAAACCATGTTTTCGTTAGATGTTTGCTCTCTGTTTACAAATGTCCCACTTCACGAAATAGTATACCTCGTAAATAACTATATACACTAAGATAGCGTACATCTTACTTGAGACAGCTCATGCTTAAATACGCTCTAAATCTCCAGCTCATTTTCGGCAATGCAATTTATCAAGAGAGAGCTTTGTAATGGGATCCTCATTTCTTCCTAGTAAACCCGGAAAATAATAGTCTTGCGGAAACTATTTGGAAACCAGACTTCTACAAGAGGTAGATGGACGATATGTATATCATCTATGATCGATTATATATGTGGTTTGCAAAGATTGCCACCCATCCATTACGTTCACCTTCGAAAAAGAAAGGGATTCTAAAGTTATATTTCTTGATGAGGTAATAACACAGACCTGATGGAATCAATCTACACAAAAATCTATGTGAGATGGGCAACTAACAAACTTCTACAGATTTACCTCCATATAAGGGGTAAAGGAATTTGGTTAGTTCTTTGCCATCACGTATCTAACAGATCTGTGTACAGAAGGTAGTGTAGAAGATGAGGTGAAATTATAGAAAATGAGTATACACCATGTTTTATACAGTGTAACAGTAAACGGATCAAAAAATATTTAGACATAAGCCACTGTACAAAAAAAGAAGACATGAATTAATATAAAAATTCGTAAGAAATGTCGAAAAAGGTTAATAAGAAAAACGTTCTATGCTGTATCTCTACCTATTCCATTCCCCCTCCCCTTCATTACATCTTAAAGCTAAGGAAACGTTACCCTAAATGTCCAGTTTGATGTTTGTTGATATATTTAGCCACTCTTGCAGAGCTAGGCAGTACGTAAGACGTCCTTAGAGAAACATTTACCGTCGCATACGACAGCACTTCCCAGTATAGTTGAGCAAAAGGGGGCATATACAGAAGTAAATTCATCAATACTCCAAAATGTAGTTGACTATAACCATGCAGTTTCATTTCACATTAGTTAAAAGGTGAAATGTAACGTGTGGAAAGGTATAACGCACATAAACACTAACTTTGTATCAGAGAAGCCTTGTCGATACATAATCTTCAATCAAAAGTAAGAGGGCAGAAACAGTTTGTACTTTGAACATAACTTACCAGTTTTGACCACATGTTTCATACATCATATACATCTAATCTTTACACTCAACTACTTTTTTTAAAGATGAAAATCATACCATATTCATTCACTCATTCGACTCCGTCTCTATCTTGTATCTTTGACCTTCAGTCTCCAACATGTTTCCAATAGATTACATGAAATATCTGTTTCACTCACACTAATGTACTTCATGATTCCATTGGTTGTAAAAATGAAACACATACTATCTCAGATAGCCACCGTGGTTTGGCAGACTAGTATTTACACTGAGTGATGATTGAAGGTGAAATGGAAATTTGGACCGCGGCCGGATTCGAACCAGTAACCATCGGGTTTTCGGCTTGGAGGTATAAAACCTGACGATTTCTGATTAGATTTTTACTTCACGATTTAGGATCTGTATCCTGACACTTTGACGTATATTAGATTCTCGTATAAATGTGTTAGTTACTGGTTGGATTAATAAAGTGAAAAGCTCCTACACCCAGAAATGTCTCCTAAATTCAGGCGTTAAACACTACAAGGATCAGTCATAATTTCACATAAAAGTAGCCTATATTTTTACTTCACCTTCAATCATCACACAATATAATCATCTATGATGAACTACAGCCCATATATATATATATATATATATATATATATATATATATATATATATATATATATATATATATTATTAGAAATTATTCCAGGTACCTTTTCAACACCACAGTCCCCTGCGCCGAAACAAAGATGCACTATACGGAAGTACTATTCAGCATGAACTGACATTAGTTGGGGAACCATTGAAAATCTATGAGCACTGGACAGCTGTTTCGTCCTAGTATGGGACTCCTCAGCAGTACGCAATCATGATCCGGCTAGGGATCGAACTCACGACCTTCAGGTTTCACGGCGAACGCGTGAAACCCTAGCTGGGTCGTGGGTGCGTGCTGCTGAGGAGTCTCATACCAGGACGAAACAGCTGTCCAGTGCTCCCAGATTTTCAATGGTTCCCTCAACTGGTGTCAGTCCATGATGAATACTATTTCTAAATTAAAAAATACTCATCCATCTCAAAAACACATATATATGCACTATATGAATCATATATGATCCATCGGTGGACAGTATAGAAAAGGATGTCAAACTCTCTTCAGATAACATTCTTTAGTGTTCACATGTCACCTGTTGTTTCGTGACAACTTGAAGAAAAAACTACTCCATTGGACCAATTTTTGTGCATACTTCGGTTCGAGGTATATAGGTTGCTAGATGAGAGTTCATTGCAGTTCAAAAGAAATCTTGCAACACTACTATCCTGCATGGTCGCAAAAAGATGTGTTATGGTGCGGAGTTGTGAGGAAGAATGGAAATACTTAACGATTGGTAGTCGAGGGTTGAGACGATCCAACCCAAGTGATTCTCAAAGAGAAATCAAAAGACTGGAAATCAGATGAGTTTATAGTATATCGAACTGAAAATGGGCCCTATTTATAGAGTTTATAGTAACCTTGAAAGACAAGGAATAGTTAGTACATTTAAAGAGGCAGAAGCCAATCAGAATAATAGCGGGTCATACGAAATATGACCCATGCGCGGGAAAAGAGCGTGAATAAACCAGTTCAAATATATACAAACTGTAAGTATGGAATATAAGGGATATAGGCATCCCTAATAAGATGACAATTAGTCTAACTGAATTCGAAGGTTTATGCGGATTTAAAGTAATTTTAAGTTGGTTTTCATCATGTATGGCCATCATCCAACCCAGTAGCTGAATAGTAATGTGCTAGCCAAGGAACCCGAAGGTCGCGGGTTCGATCTCTGGCGGAATCGTGGGTGCACACTCCTGAAGAGTCTCATACTAGTTGGACAAAACACCTAGCTTTGCATTGCTCTCAGGTTTCCAATGTTCCTCTAACTGATGATTAATCTATCAAATATTCTATTATTGAACAAACTGTCAACATTGACCAGTCTAAATCAATGGGCATCACTTTCATATTTTTAGCATCGCTGACACCCTCCTAACCATCGTCTATACTGAAAAAAACTTGTTCAACGTCTTTTTCCCTCATGATTATGTTCATTTGCTTGTTTTAAAATCACTCCCTTGCTTCATTTTGTCCACTACTTTAAATAATTTCACCATAATTTTTGTTTCTATGCTCTTTTGGACAACACTTAAAACCACCTTTGTTATGTTATGCAATATCATCTTATATATACAATCCTATACAATTTCCTTTACAGTTGATCAGTTTTTACTATTCATTATAAAGGTTATGAGATTATAATTCTGTATGCTGTCATATTCAACAAAATAATGTAACAAAGGAAACCTGGGAGCACTGAACAACTATTTCGCCCTAGTATGGCATTTCTCAACAGTGCGCATCCACGACCCCACCAGGGATCGAACCCGCGACCTTCAGGTTCCATGACCGAAGTTCCAATGGGAAATCATGATTGATGGAGCCAAAGCCTGATGTTTATGAGGACAGTTACTCAACGATGATATTGGGTGGCGATTGTGCTATATCGTGAGTTAATATAAGTTGAAAATATAGACCATTATAAAATAACGTAATGTTAGAAATATAAGAAAAATACTACTTAACAACAAAACTCACCTCTGAACTATAATTATTAGGAATATATGAAATTAAATTTGATTCATTGCTAGTTGAAACTTCTGTCAATCCCTGAGATCCATTGACAAATGCCTCACTTGTGATTGATGTAGGCGGTATATCGACAGAAGAAAATTCACTGACACGAAGATTTGGCCAATGAGTAAAATCAGTAATTGAAGTAGAAATTTCATTTCCAGTAGAAATAAGTGATGGTTGATTAGATGAAGGTTTGACTACTGGAGTTAACAGTGAATTAAGTCTATTGTCCATATCGAAAGTTGTCATGTTAGACATAGAAGAAGTTTGACTTTTTTCATTTAAAATACGGAAAATTTCTTCACGAACAAGTTGTTTCAAATTAATATTTTCTGATTCAGTTGCCTATAATGTAGAATTTAGAGCACCATCCCCCCCCGGGGGGGGCAAAAAAACAAAACAAAACAACACAGTTATGAGTAAAGATATCACGGTAAACAAAAGGAAAAAACTTATGCTAGGAATCATTTTTAAAAAGACCTTCAATGTGATTTATTTGCTGTAAGTATCCGTAATCCATCTCGATAAATAGACACACTAGATGAACCTTAAAACCTCGTACACCGGTAAATCCTTTTAAGGTGTCATACTTCACATAAGTACACAAACAACAAGTGGATAGAAAAGGAGTCATATCAAAGTATACAAAATTGTGTAAGACAATAAACAGTTTGAAGACAAAGATCAGTGTGAATATTCAAGCTTTATAAGATATTAAGGAATGAATCATCATCATTCATCAACATAGGACCAGACATTACTGCGTAACGATTCAGAGTTGGCACACCTCATATCAGTACATCAAGTGAAGAAAAAGGCAATCAAGTGGAAGATGAAGAAGACAAAATTCAGTCAAGAGAAATATAAAGTACGAAAAGAGAGAAAGGAAGAATGAGAAAATGGTGAAGTTCGGTATAGCGTCGTTAAGATGAGGATAATGTATGCATAATTGCTGCGCCACTGACATTAGTTCTGAGCCATTATCACATAGGGTCCCCAACCACTGGTTCCTCTTGTCCCACGGACCCCAATCACCTAGTCTGCATCGCCCCAATAGTCAGAGACTTCATACACTGGTGCCATGTTTTAGTCTGGCCACTTAGGGCCTTTTTCTAGCCTGCACCTACTTCAGCCAACACTGTGTGACGAGGCAATCGGTGACTAGGCATGTGTAGTACGTGTCCCAACCATCTCAGTCGATGAAGGTTCACAACCTCGTCAACCGACTTACCCCTTCTCCCTAAAACTCTACGCCTGACTTCTGCGTTACTCACCTGGTGACAACACGGAGTACTATCTATACTACGAAGGCCACAGTGGTCAAACACCTGAATCAATACAACATATACACCACTGTCACCGATTTTCAGCCAAGTCATTAAGAGTCAGTCCCCAAACACTCATTATTCCTTCCATCTCAAAGACCCCCAAATACGCAGTCCACATCTCCCCACACTACTCAGATCAACAGTAAAAGACTTCATCGACTGGTGCTACATCTTGGTCTTGCCACCTTTAACCCTCTTCCAACTTTATTGCAACTCCCCCTACCATGTCACTTTGACGTAGGCAGTGGTGGTTTGACATGCCAATTGCAGGTTCACAACCTCATCAATCGACTTCCCTGTCTTGCTTAGTACCCTTCGCCTGACCTCAAACATTCCTCATACAGTGATCTTAACAAACCTGAGCAATGCTACGAAGACATCACTGATCAAAACCCTGTAGTCGCTTCGTGTTTTCTACTTTCAACGGCCATGTATCATAGCCACATAAAAAGGAATGGACTGTAGCGTAGTATACTCGTCCTGTCATAGATATTCGGATATCTCGTGACTCTGTGCAGCAAGTGGGTAAGTGCGAAACGGGCATTATGTATCCAAGCTGAGATTTCGTTCAGGCTGATGCAACTTCGCAAGTAAGTGAAGTGGTCGACACATTCCACCACTTCACTGCCTACCCTTATTCTGAGTATGGTTACAGACCAGTCCTGGAGCATCATCTTACATTTGACAAGTGAGAAACTCATGCTAAACATACTCAGATTTCCGCTCAATGCGTTCAGAAGACCTTTATGTAGTCAAAGAAATATACGTATTACGATAACTATGGAAAAACGTGAAGATACTCTTATCTAAAGAAGATGGACCCCTTACAGCATAGAATAGCATGGACTTTCTGAACTGAGTGAGAAGTATATTGGAATCTGAGTATGAAAATCATTATTCGTGGACAGTATCTGAACAAATTTGGCAAAACTTTACTACAAACCGTATAAAAATTGTAATTCACCAACCATATGCAGGTTTGTGCACTAGGCGATCAGTTAAACTTATTATGTAACGGTTATTGATTCCACCTCATTTGAATGTATCAACGAAACGTTCTGCCTGCCCCTTTAACTGTGGATGATATGGTGGGGAGAAGACATGAGTGATGGCATGTTGGCAGCAGGATTTATCAAATTAATTCGATGTAAACTGCAAACCATTATCCGCGATAATGGTTTTCGGTGGTTGAAAATATCTGATAAAGACCGTTATGTCTTCCGTGCTGATGGAGGAAGTACAACCATGATCTCTAGCCACTTCAAAGATGCAACCACGAGAACCAAACAAGATATCCCATCGATCGGACCAGCAAAATCAAGATGTACTATTTCCCAAGAATGCATGGGCTTCGGCAACGGTAGCGCAAGAATTTTAAGAGAGTTTTTGGCTACTTGTTGACATTGTGGAATGGAAACTTAAGGCGTAGGTCACTTCGGACGGAGGATTTGGTTTGGAATCAAGAGGTGCAGTGCACCAGAAGAGACCAAGTTGAAAAACATCTGCAGATTTTTCGACGACACCCGCAGACTGAGTTTGAGGATGTGTTTGCAGGTTGGAAAAGGATTCAGGGCGGCCAGACTAAAACGTGACATCAATCTATGAAGTCCTTAACTGTTCGTTTGAGCCATGTAAGGTGATGCAGACTAGACGGTTGGGGTCTGTGGTACAAGATAAACCAGTGGTTGGAGACTCTAGGTGGAATGGCTCAGAACCGATGTCAATGGCACAGATGCATATACACAATATCCTCATCTTAATCGCTATACTTAATCTCATCATCTTCTCCTTCTTCCTTCTCTTTCACTAATTTCCACTTGCACTTCCTTTGACCGACTTTTCTCTCCTTCAACTTTATTTTATTGCCTTGTTACTTGATATGCTGATAAGAAATGTAGCAACTTGAACCGTCACACAGTACTGCCTGGTCCCATGTTGTACAACCCCCAACCCTGGTGTTTGCACCTGGTTACAGAGAGTAATGAGTCGGCTTTTTGATAACCCAAGACAGTCAAACCAATCCACACACAATAAATTTAGGTCGGCCTTAATAACATATGACGATACACTGGTTCAATTTGGTGGACCCAATAATGGGGTCTGTCCTGTCCGCCAGTTATCAAATTATCCTTCACCTCTGAATTCCGGTTTTATCAAATAATACATCTCCACCACCTATGTCGGGCACCTCACACGGTATCCAGAAGACTCCCTCTTCACCTAGTTGGCTCTGTGGATCTTAATACTACATCAGGACTTGTCCATATAGACAACAGCATTGCCAACAATCCAACATCATTAGACACAAAGATGGTTGGTGCAACCTATGGCGCCCACAAATGTTTGGCCCGCCAAGGAAAAAATTGCTCCTGCAACTATTCGAAGCCAACTGATAGATCAGTGTGCATCGCGGCCACCTTTATGGACAACGAGTTCTCCAAAAGAAAGTTCCCGACAATATTGATCGATAACCATCTGGTCAGCCTGGAGATGGGCACTGTGTCAGATATGACCATCATTTCCAACAAACTCTAGAATAACATTGGTTCACCACCTCTACAGAGAATAGTTAAGATTACAATGAGTGTATGTGCAGGCCTCCCATTGTCTGGTAAGCTCGGAAACCCCTATTCTACTTCTAAATACTCTGATAATTAATACGTATGCAAAAATAAATAAAGATAAATCATGAAAGAAGAGCGCATTCATATCACCATACCTGGTTGATCATTGCTTTCGCAAGACTAGCGTAAGCTGGTGGTTCAACTTGGTTTGTGGCATTTGACGAAATCTAAGGTTAGAAAGAAATAGCCGAAATTAAAAAACAAAAACAAAAACATCTTAACAGGATAAACAATTCGATTAGCGGCAACTGGAAAGAAGTTAAGTATTGTAACAAAAACAGACAAAAAATATGTCGCACCTTGCCAGGAGACATAAACAAATCGTTACTCGGCCTTTGAACACAAATTTATGACTTTAAAATGGATCATTAGGACTGCAACCACGTTCACATAACAAAATGCAGACTATATAGTAATGATGGACAGTGGCTAGCAGTGGGATCCAGGATGCGTATTTCGTCCCGTTTAGGACTCGTCAGCGGGATGTACCTGCATCCCATATGCCAATAGAGACCGATCAATTCGGTCCAATCAACGACAGTATGATACAACCACAATAACACTAAAAGTATACCCGTCGGACAGGAATTGGTTACAGTGGCTCGATGGTCTAGTGGATAACGCTCTAGAGTTTCAAGCGATCGGTCCCAAGCTCGAATCCCGGTGGAAACAAAATCACTCACTGGGAGGCAGATATACTCAGCTGACAGGTCCCAAATAGAACGAAACGCCCATCCTGGATTCCACTGTTAGCCACTATCCATCATCACTATATAATTAAGAACAAAGGCAACATCGAGGCATCCGCGCAGGAGCCCGTATGCTAACATAGACCAGTCAATTCGGTCCAATCAACGATAGTACAATACAATATAAAAACTGCTGTAGTTTCAAATTTACAAAATCGACATATATAAATGGCCAATGTAAAATATCTCAAAGTAATCACTGTAACATAACTAACTAACTAACTGACTGACTGAAAAAATCAACGTAGAACCTCGCATACTGGTGCATCCATGCAAGTTGCTACACTTTACACAAGTACACAAAGAACAGGTGGATAGGAAAGGAATAATACCAACGTAGAGGAAGTTAAGTGAGAGAATAACTAATTTGAAGATAAAGGTCAGTGCGAATATTCAAGCTTTACAAGATACTAAGGAATGAATCATCACCATCCATAAACATAGGACCAGGCATTACTGCGTAACAGTCCGAGTTGCCACACCTATGATATGTTATAAAGATCTATCTAGAAGACAGTCAATAATGACCTTTGGATTCCCATGAAATTAGATAGTTGAATTCTTAGTCGATTTTAAAGTATTCCACACTAATAGATATGTATCAAATAACCATAAAAAAAATAGGAGTGCCAGACAGTTATGGTAGCCAAATTTGAAACTTTTCAGCCGTATATATCTATAACTTTATGCGGGATCCAATTAAAAATCGCCTGTTTCAGCAGTGAACATGATATTATTCAACTGATGAATAAGGGATAAATGTTATGAAGTTAATTATTTCTTCATCCTTCCGAATGAAAAAGGTGATTATTTACATTTTAGACTTCGGTTTGAAAACAATTAATAATTTCACCATTTTAGAAACTTGTCCATTTGTAATTTTCTCGTTTCAAAAGAACACGATGAAAGTAGACTAATTAGGTACATATATGAGCACAGAAATGAAAAATACTCAAAACGAGCATAATGAAATCTATCATTAAAGAAAAACCAAAACCTATTCATGTACATAAAAGCTTAGTGAAGAAATGTGTGCAATGTTGAAACCACTTTAGGCATAGACTGTTCAAATGAGTTAAACAGAATGTCCCATTAAAAAAAAAACCGAATGTTTCGACTTCATTTGACATTTATGACGATTAATTTTTAATTGAAAACTGGAAGTGGGAGAAGGACACATATGACATAAAAGAATTCAATAATAAGAAAGATAATGAGAGGAATAAAAGATAAGACTTGAAGACAATCTTGGTAATACGATAAAATAAGCATTACCAAGGTAGGCTTAATGTAAGGACAAACTGTTTTTGCACACACAATGGAGGGTTAAATTTATTTATGGCTAGCTCCTCAACAAACTTAAGTATACACCCCTGACAGTTTCTGTACAAAATTGTAAAGGCTGTTTTGATATCAATTCTGTGACTCTTATCAATGATATGTTTCGCAATGGATGATGATGGTTGTCTGCCATCTGCGCTTATCAATGTTTGTGAATCCAGCTGCTTTCGTAGCCACTTTGGAACATGTTCCCCTACCCTCAAGTGCATATCACGATTCGTCCTCCCTATGTATGTTTGTCCACATACACATGTAAATTTATAAACTCAGTGGGATGTGACACAATCGTTTATACAGCGTTGAGGTCTAGGTAGCAGCAGGTGTTTGGTCTTCTCAACTATGATAAGCTTAGCTGCATAGTACATTTTGCTAACAGCAGACCTTAACCTTCGTCTTAATATTATGCTATTAGATTCTCCTCTGTATGGTAAAGCGATGTAAACGCATTTCTTCGAAACAGAGTACAGATCAGGTTTGAATCCCCGCTGATTTTTGCAGCGGTTTGTGAACTTCAATGAATATCCATTTTCCACTAATGTTTCCGTTAGTATTTTGATATCATCATCCATTGAGTCCTCCATACAAATACGCTCGATCCTTTTAAATAGACAAGTTACCAAATCTCGCTTGTATTGGGTTGGACAAAAGCTATGGAAACTTAAATACTGACCTCTCCAAGTAGGTTTCCTGTAGATCGACCGTTTTATTGGACCATTATTTCTACGACTTAGGAGTATATCCAAGAATGGCATACGGTTTTCTTTTTCTTCTTCACCTGTCAGGCTAATGTTGTTTTGTACGTTGTTAAGTCTTTCTAACAAACATGTCGCATCTTCATGCTTATCACATATCACGATTATATCATCAACATATCTTTTATAGAGAGTAACTTTATTGATGAGATCGCCGGTCAAGCCCTCAATGTGTGACATGTAAGTATCAGCTAGCAATGGTCTTAAGGCACTTCCCATAGCCACACCATCTATCTGTCGAAAATGTTCACCTTCAGATGTGAAATGAACTTTATCAGTACACAATAATAACAGCTCTCTCAAACACGTTGAGGGGATAGGGAAAGAAGGATTACTGGAAGATATATGATCACAAAGAATGTCAATGGTTTTAATTAGGGGTACATTAGTAAATAAGGAGTTTATCTTATCTTTTATTCCTCTCATTATCTTTCTTATTATTGAATTCCTTTATGTCATAATTTTTAATTGTTTAAGGAATATTTTCAAAAGCTTACCACAGTAGGTGAAGACACCTCAGCTTGCATCCAAGCATCACACTTTAAGATTGTCTCATCTGTTTGAATAGCATTGGAATTCCCACTGTTGAGACATTCTTTAGCACTGGAAACTTGAATACTGTCTACTAAGCAAACTGCAGAGCATGTCTCTAAAGTGCTTTTATCAACCTCTGAAACACCAAAGGAATAGAAAAACTTGATGTACAAACTCCAGATTCTCTGAACAAAATATATCTTTTTCTAAGCATAATGACAGTATCTGCGTCTTTTAAGGTGCTTGCTGGTGTAAATTCAACTTAGATAAGAGAGCTAACACATGTAAGTTATGCAAATGGCATGACATAAAGTAGTTAAACAGTTTTTCAACCTCATAGTCTTTATAATCAAACATAAGAATCCGCGCTTAACGAATAGGTTCAATTTAGCTTTCTGACTATAGCTTCTTTTTTGTGTCTATTAGCTTAGCATTTTAAACAGACGGTAGCTAATGAGAAGTGACGAAAACTGAGAATATAAAATGTCGCTTCGATTTGGTCATATTCCGAAATATGATGAGGCAATGATTAACATGACCACACACAAAAGGCCAGCTTGAATAGGACGAGACCAGCAATCAAAACAAAGAATTCTATGCAAAAAGTGAAGTAGATTATCCCACTTAGCAACAGCTTTATTCTAACCTAACCTAACTCCGGTCAATATCATATGTCGATGTACACTGGTTAGGCATGTGCAACGCATGAAGAAACCAAATAGTCGGCACAGAAATCTGTATACACGAGCGCTGATACATACCAAGCATACTTTACATTTCATTTCACCCATTCAGAAGTTTGATTTCTAACATCTAAGAACAGGACCTAGTCATTTGCACATTCAGGGTCAACCAGATGCCCACTAGGGTAATATATGTACAGAACATGCTCTGAAGAAAAATCTATTACTTAGCCACTCCCATCAATAAGCTTGTAAGAATGACACCAATGACTGTAGTCATCTACATGAGTTCCAGTTAGCCATACGTGTCACAGTTCGTTTTGAAATAGACAGAATGACAACGTACTGAACTTGTTGTATCAATCTCCGATAAAAAGATTGCCCATGCTTGGTTACACTTACTAGGAAATCATTTTGCGGTGCCGAGCACATTATAGTGACAATATTAGGTCCAGCAAAGGGACACCAAGAAATTTACCACATAAAATAGTTTAACAACAATGTAAAGACATACACGATGCAAAGTGAAGAAGAAAGAAAAACAATAAGAATAGCATGATTAGATGGCCAATCCAATAAGACCCATTCAAAACAAAACACTCATCACTTTTCAGCACCAGAACATAGATGCAACCTACAGCATGACCATCATTGGTTTCCATTCTCTGTCACATCTGATAACATCTCAATTTCATCCCACCACACACCACTCCACCCCATCCTACATAGGAAGTCGTGACTCACCAACAGATGCCAACCCCATACAACTATCCCTCATCCCATGGCGCCAACTCATAGCACTCAACACCCCTCTACTTCTTCCACACAGTCCAAAGGCTAGAAGACAATTGACAGTGTAAAAGCCGTTGCGACAACATGTCGAAACCATCAAACCCGGTGTTTCCAGATGACTTCATTTGTTGAATGACAATCTCCATCATACCCAAACACACGCTGTCCTACCTCGGAATTACTCACATGCTGTTGCCATCGGATATGAGCAATCCTACGGAGACAACGATGATCGAACACACACAGTCGTCGCACATAATCAGCTCAGAGGTCAGGTTTCCCAACTGGCGAGCAGAACTGCTCGCACAAAGGCGTTATAAACCTTACCTTTTACGGTCGGACTAACGTCACGACGGCATCAAAAGTGACCCAGGTTGACGTATGTCAGTCTGGCCTTTGTCATGCACTTGGAAATTTTACGGCAAACCTCCATTAGTATTCACACCGCTAACCACATACACGAACTTTTCGACTACTTCTAATGGCTCACTATCAAGGGTAAGCGCAGGTAGAGGCTCCTGCTAATCTTGCGAAAGTGTATTACACTTTATTGGTGCAAAGCACATACTATACTTACGGACACCAATCACCAGCTGATTGAGTGCGCCTGTGTGTTATTGGACAGTAAGACTACATAGTCCACATATCCAAGGTGGAACAGCCGTTCTCCAAGTAGTAGCCAAACGTCACCATTACGCACTCCCTTTAGAGCTACCTTAAGAATGTTGCCAATGATAAAGTTAAAGAAGAATGGAGAAGTTGGGCAACTCTGCATAACCCTACTGCTAGTTTGGAACAACAGAGACAGATTTGTATACCCTGAATCTACCTGAGGTGTTATTATATGGAGGTTTCAAGATGTTAATACAGTTTACAGGCATGCCCCTCTAACACAGACTTCTAGAATACAGCTCTGTCCAACTATTCGAAAGTAGCCCTAATGTTAAGAAACACGACGCTTGTTGGCCTCCAATGCCTGCGGCGATGTTCAAGCATCTGATGGAGGGTTAAACGCATGATCAATGTATCCGCGACCTGAACGAAACCTAGCCTGCTCCTCGCAAATCATTTTCTAACGTGTTTTACAAAATCTGCGAAGTATGATAACACCCAATAATTTTGACGCAACAGACTAATACCTCGATGATTGCCACATACATTACACAGACCGTTTTAAAGATGGGCACGACAATGGCTTCATTCCAGAGTGACGAAACACTCTATCTGCCATACTTTCTTAAACAATTTAGTCAGTCCTCTGAATATAGTCGTCTGTTCACCTTTAAAAGGAATACGGGGTAAGTTGCTTCGGCTGGGTGCCTCGTGGCGTTTCGGAATTTGATGTTCTTTATGGATCTCCGCTTCGGTAGGTGGGTCAGTGTTGACTGACCATGGAGCACGATACTCTGAAGCTGACAATGCTTGAGCCGTGGCCCAGCTAAACTGCTTTTCGAAGTGTTCCGACCATCGTCCTAGGTTTTTTTGAAGACTGTTTATCGGCGTACCATCCATCTTACAGACTTTTTCATTGACACCTGGCTTCTTGCTGCCAGTGACTCGAATGAGCTGGAACAGTTCCCAACTACTGCTAGATGCTGCTGCTACTTTCATCTCACTAGCGCGTTCTGACCAACAAGTTCACGAAGCCAGAAGCTACACAAAGCCAATAAGTTATCAGTGCACAATTCAATTAAATGTACATGATTCAACAATCTGAAGCGCTCTTGTGCTCCACGCACTACAAACTTCCTGCTATTCGTTAATTTAGAAGGATTTTTTTTGATCTCCCCAGGCAGTCTAACTTCCGTATTTATGCTCTAAAGTAAGGTGAAAACTAATGATAAAATACAAACCCACACACAAAGTAAAGCCAATTATGGTATCTGGTCATGCAAACGTTTCTAAGTGAAGTCGTGTGACTCGATGACTAAAGCTACATGCAAAATAAAGAATTTCAGTACACTTAAGTTATACTTACTCCCCTAATGATACATCTCTTGGTGCCCATGTATCAATTTCGTTTCCTAAATATCTGTATCCCTACATATATTTGAATATTCTCATTTGAGTATGATGATTAACATGAAGATAATATGTGGATACATCTGCACCACTGGTATCGGTTGAGACATGCTACTTACGGTCGCCAACCACTGGCTTTTGTTATCACGCGTAACCCAACTGGGAAGTCTACATTTCTATACACGACTCACACCATCAGTCAAAGATTTCATGCACTGAAGCGATTTTTTACTCTGGGCAACTTTAAACATTTTCCAGCCAAAATCTACTTCGGCAAACATTACATGATGGGGGACATCACTAGGCACGCGTGTAATATCCCCTAGCTACTTGAGTCAATGAAGGTTCTCATCTTAATCAAATAACTTAACTCTGCTCCCTAGAACTGTACGCCTGACTAATTCAAGTGGTGACGCCATGTCATGGCCTATGCCACGAAGACACATGAAGCCTTCTCGTGTCCCCTATCTTTAGTGGTGGTTTTATAGCCACACAGTAGAAAAGAGCTGAGCGCAGCGCGGTACGCTAGACCCCTAATAGGCAGTCAGATATCACGGTGGACCCATTAGTGGCGTAAGTTGCTGAAAACTAAACGAGCCTTTCTTATCAGAGTAAAAATTACTCCGGCTATCGAGCCACATCGGCTTTCCCAACCTCTCACGTAAGTGAAGTCATCAACGCGCTTAGACATTTCAGTCCCTAATAAGGGACTACTGATGTAACATTTAGCATTCAGGTGGTGAAAACGCATCCCAAACATTCCCAAATTGTCAGCATCTTTAGGTAATAGAAACGTTATCAGCATACTCTAGGTGATAAACAGGGCAACAAGAAGACGTAAATTGTCGGAACCGTGTAATGTATTTGCGCAACACATTTCGAACTATCTGATCACACACGTACTTGTCATAGGTATTTATATAAAAACTCATGAAGATAAGGGGTGAGAAAATAAAAAGGGGTCAGGTAGGAAGGCTGACTTAAAGGCCGAATAACAATGAAAATCAATAGAGCGAAAAAATAATAGTACATCGAACTTGGTTTTTCAATAGTTGAATTTACCAAGGAAGGTTTAATGTGACAACAAATTGTTTATGAATACATAAAGGTGGTTTCAACTTCCTAATAGCTAAGGCTTCAACAAATTTCAGGATCCCTCCCCAACATGTTTTGTAAATAGGTGTAAAGGAAGTAGCCACATCAATCTTGTGACCTGTCTCAACGATATGTTTAGCGATCGAAGAACTTGGACGTCTGCTACCAACATTTATAGGTTCAGGTGATTTAATTTGCTTCTGAAGCCACTTTGGAATATGTTCCGAGGCCCTTACTTGCATGGATCTATTAGTCCTCCCTATGTATGTGTCACCACACGTACATTTGAATTGGTAGATACAATGGGATGTGACATTATCGTTCACATGCTGTGGGGGTTTGGGGGAATATAAGGGCTTCGTGGTTTCGATTACTCGAACCCTGGCTGCATAGTAAGTCCTTCTAACAGCAGCGTTAAGTCTCTGCTTAAGGATTGCACTCTGAGAGTCACCTTTGTACGGAAGGCTGATGAAGACATCCTTCTTTGGGACTGACTGCAGTTCTAGTTTTGACGCTCTGCTGATTTTGTTCTGCCTGATAAATGTTGATGGATAGTTATTTTCCAACAAAATATCGGTCAGTGTTCCTCTTTCATCTTCTAAAGTATCCTCGGTGCATATTCGTTGAATTCTGCTGAATAGGCACCTTACTAACGTTCGCTTGTACTGAACTGGGCAAAAGCTATGGTAATTCAGATATTGCCCTGTCCATGTAGGTTTTCTGTAGATAGATCGTTTTATGGATCCATCCTGCCTTCGACTAATTAATATATCTAGGAACGGCAAGCAGTCATCTTCCTCTCTTACACATGTCAAAGATATGCTGTTCTGTACTTCGTTCAGTCGGTTTAGAATTGAAGTAGCCTGATTTGAGTTTTCAAAAATAATCAGGATATCGTCAACATATCTTCAGGCTACTTGAATTCATAAACAATTTGTTGTCACATTAAACCTTCCTTGGTAAATTCAACTATTGAAAAACCAAGTTCGATGTACTATTATTTTTTCGCTCTATTGATTTTCATTGTTATTCGGCCTTTAAGTCAGCCTTCCTACCTGACCCCTTTTTTATTTTCTCACCCCTTATCTTCATGAGTTTTTATATAAATACCTATGACAAGTACGTGTGTGATCAGATAGTTCGAAATGTGTTGCGCAAATACATTACACGGTTCCGACAATTTACGTCTTCTTGTTGTTTTGTCGAAGTTTATAAAGGGAACTAATTGTTTTAAAAACAGGGCAACACTAAGTACCATACACCTGTGCTGGTGTTTAATAGTGAAGCGTACACCCAACAACTAAAAACCGCTACCGAGCTATTGTAGGAAGAAAAAAGAGGTGCACTCAGTAACTCTATGAAGTAACCAACGAGTCACGCATATTGTGTAAGAGCTAATGATATTACCTGGCTGCTCAAACCTCGGTAGGTGGAGCGATGTTCGAACCCGTGACCCACTGGTTGGAAGTCAACTGCCCAAACCGTTAACCACGCCTCTAAACGACTGTAAAAAATTGTCTCACTACAAAACTAAACTCATAACATCTATATTTGGAAGCTACTGTGGCAATTAGAAATTGATTATACAAACAGGTTGGAGTTAGAAGAATTACATGGGGGAAACTCAAATATCGTCGTGGTTTTTACAACTAATACCTGAACATTACGTCAAGCTGAGTTTACCTACCTCAAACATAAATTGTGACTAGGAATATGAAATCTTAACGAGAAAAAATACTATGAATTTAGGCTAATTGCTGGAATATTCACTCAACACTCCTAAAAGATAATTTCAAGAGGACAAATTTGGGGATTAATAGACAACTGGTATTCACTTTTATAAACTGACGTTGAACTACTGATAAGTGAAAGGTAGTTTAATAAATAAAAAAAAAGTCCAACTTACTGTTTTTTAAAAACAACTCCTTGTTACGAAGATTCTGGATTTTATTGTGTGTGGCATTGAGGAAACTGTATACATCATCAACGGTAGATTCATCCCCAATACGAAGTTCTGTGTCTACAGAGTCAACTTCTGATTCGGAACTAAGAAGAAAAAATCGTGATTGTTAAGAAATGTTAATATGAGTCCATATTTAAGTGCATGTGATATAAAAGCAACTCACAAGTAGGTAGACTCTAATTCCTTGATGTCAGCTGCAACCTTGGAAATTGGTTCAATGAGTTTCTTCCATTTCTAAGGGAAAAAAATGTTGATACAATATGAAACAGTGAAAAACAAGCTGAAAGTATAGTTACGCGAGCCTCTACTTCCATTGTCCGAAGCTGGTCATTCAGTTCCACTAACTCAGTCATAACGAATTGCTTTTCTTCATTCACAGCCACTAACCTCGAGCACAACTGTTTCACATATGCCTTTCGAACGTCATCCGGGCTCACCGACTACAAATAAGATAAGAGAATGAAAACCTACTATGTTGTCAAGTTGCCTCACTAAATCTTCAATCGTGGTCGAATGATCTGGAGTGACATTTTGAAGTGTTACACTAAGGGCAGTTTGCAATTCATCTTTTAACAGGATACTGGACTGGTTAAGAGTTTCTGAGGAAAATTAGTATGTAAACTAAAATTTTACCAATTGTTTTTTTGAATAAATCAACTAGCACATCCAAACGGGCGACAGAATCCTGACGTCGATTGTTTTCGTCGTCGACAACAACAAACTCTTCATTTGATTCCATAATGCCAACTAGAGACAGACAATTTAACAACTGCTTCGCAACGAAAGAAGAAAGGTTATAACCGGCGCTCCCTGCTTTAAATACAAAGGTCAAATATGGTTCAAATTGTTGTCCAGGGAATGGAAGAAACTTCTGCTTAACTGGCTTCCAATATCCAATATTGATAGTGCGAGCGTAGAAAACTGGTAGTTTTTGATCTCTCGCGTCTCTCTCTCGCTTCCGCGTCCAAAACTCTTGTGTCACTACTCCTTGTGATTTCTAACCTGTATATAAGTAAAGAAAGATGAAAAAGTGACTGTTGAAATGCAAAATTCCAATTAGTTCTAATTAGATACCAGCCGCATATCAAGTAAGTATTCAGTTGGCGTTTGGAGGATTCAAACGAAGTTGCCTGGATTACGTCTGCAGGAAGAGTTTTCCAGGTTTTAGCAACTCTTAGGGAATAGAAGTTGTGCTTGATATCTAACCTACCATGTTCCAGGCTCAGTTTCTGTGTGCCCTCTAAGATTGGTGCTACAGCTAAGGTTTAATAAGTGACGGAGTGGGTGACTAGGCATGCTCATAATTTGGTGAGTCATACCGAAGCCTCTTCTCAGCTCTCTGTATTCCAGAGGACACAGATCCAGCGCAAACAGTCGTTCTTCGTATGTTTTAGACCTAAGTACTCGAACAGGTTTTGTCGAGCTCCTCTGGATGCATTCTAAGCTTAGTTTATCCTTCTGGAGAGAGGGGCGGAAGATAATGTACCCAGAATCCATGTGAGGCCGTACTATTTCGTGACTGAGAGAATTCTTAAATAACCTGCTTGAAGGTCCGGACGGTTCCGCAGCACCGCGGGGTTGATTTTATCTGGTCCCGAAGAGGTACCTTTAGTGAGCAGTAGTGGTTTGCGCTAGGTTATCTCAACACTTAGGCCAACGGCCAAGAGTCCTGCTTTGTGAGTGGGATATTCGTAGGCTCCTGGGCATGTGGACGATGACGAAAAGATTTGCATATTCTGGTTGGCCAGAAGCTCAGCTGCCTTACTGTCGTTACTGGTCAGTTCGTTCGCACCTAGTAGTTGGGAGACTCCTGCTTCAGCCTGCAGGAACGGAGCAACGTAACGGAACAGGCTTCTAGGATTAGAAACAAACATGCTTTTAAGCCCTACTTGGTGCCGCCGCCGACTGGCTACCAGTGTTTTCGCATACATGTTTTTTGTCTATTCGAATTGTCTGCAAGTACATCCAGAGCCAATCCTTTTGTGTCTAGCTCAGTGGTGTCTCCTTAATCAAAGTAGTTTGCGAGTGTGGTCCAATGTTGCCTTAGGTAACCTGAAGCACTTCGGTATTAAAACTAGAACAGACTGGCTGATCTCACGCATGATCTTGTCCAGTGTGAATCTCCGATGGGTGTTCATATCCTGCCATATGTGGTTAGCTTTCCAATCCGTCTGTTCCAGCGAGATTCGAAGAACCGGAGAGTTAAGTGGTCTAGAGTTCCAATGGCGTTCGTTGAAGGGTCTGGTTAGATTGGCTTCGCGGACAAGCTGTAAGCCGACAACAACGTGGTCACTCCTGCCCAACGGTGGAAAGATTGCCCGGTTGTAATTAAGGAACTCCTCATTCGTGAAGATGTAGTCTAAGCGAGATGGGGTTTCAGTCTCCCCCGCCCGCGTCGCCTGCCAATCATATGGAAGAATCGAGCCGTAACTCCGCCAAACGTGTGATCTGCAGGGTTAACCCTCGGTGGGTTATAGTTGCCTGAAATTAGTAAGTATGTTTGCCCCAGTTTAAGAGAGTAACCAGTTTCCGCTAGCATCTGGTCGTCATACCGTAAGTCGGCAGATGGCCCCCTACAAGTGACTCCCGCCAAGCACTTAGTAGTCTTGGACAGCTTTGTGGTTGTCCAGGTAGACCTCTCGGGGCATTCCAGTTCTTGAACATGGGTTTGGTGAGCTGAGAGCGAGGAGATGACGTAAGTTGCTACCCCACCTCCCCTACCACTCTTTTTGTCGTTGCGAAACAGCCTGGTATTAGCAACTGGCACCTCCTGATTTGACATGTCAGGAGAAACCCATGTCACGGTAACGCCAATAAGGCGAGCATAAGTGTCCTTACTTAGTTCTAGCAGTCCGTCTAGGTTATTCGGTAAACTTTGCGCGTCCCTATAGATGCAGTTTATGCTACCTGCCTGGAGTGCATTGCCTGGACCCTCTCTGTTTTCCATTTAGCTGGCTGAATCTTCGGGCATGGGGGATTAGACTGTGGCTGAGCTCTGCCTACCAGTGAAGCGTTGCCTGCTCTTCCCCATTTTTTGCCTCTAAGCAGTCTTCCAAACGTACGATTGGCCCCAGTTTTTATGCTTTCGTGGTAGCCTTTCGCTCTGCGACCTATCAGGCTCCATGAGGACTCCGGGCGGCAGGCGATTTCTGTTCGCCCGAAATCCCTTCAGTGTGGATGATGCCATTTGACAGGCCCGAAAGACCACTTTAATCAGCCTTGGTCTAAGGTCACTTCCCTTTTCGAGCATGCGAAAGGCTTTGGGTGATCACCCCCTTGAGGTTCATAGTTTTCTTGAGGAACTTCCACTCACGAGAATTGTAGCAAATATTCTCGGTGCCTAGGTTTTCTGGTACGCATAGTATCCTAAGGTTTCTTCCCCTGAAGTAGGAGCCAGGACTGTCGCCCGAGAGGTTCATTAAGGCCATTCTTCCAGAGTGTGGGACATCTGATAGTATCCTTACTTCCCTTTCAGCTTTCAGCACATGAGGTGATATGGGCGTATCCTCGACAACATCTGGGTTTGAGAATGTGAGCCTTAAGAGATGGGGCTTGTCCTTAGTTGTAGGACCAGGACCGCCTGAGAGCCTAGTTTTAGCCCTTTTTGCTGTGGTCTAGCCTGGGTTTTCCGCTTATGTTCTCCCGCAGAACCCCATCATTCCTGTCCTGATTGCTCTATGGGATGCCAGGGCTGTCTGTCGGGTTCGTAATGACCAAAGAATCACTCCGGACAGTGGTCTGTCTTGCCGACCGTCGATCATTGGGCGTTTGTTGTTGAGCTTTCGTCTTTTCTTCAACTTTGCCCTCGTTCGTGTGCAGCATAAATGCTTGTTTGACAAACTTGTGAGTGACTCATGGTATGCTGTCCATTCCACTTCCTTGTGGGCTCAGGTTTGGCCTTCCTAACCCCCGGAATACCCTGCTTAGGCTTCTTTCCTGAACTTCCCGCCTTCCCAGACCTGACAGTTTCGACCGGAGTTGAAATCAGACTACCCTTATTTCGCACAGTGAATACCCATTTTCCATCTTGAGTATCCTTGCTTGGTATGACCGCTTCGTTTTGCGCTTTATTTGTTGATGACAAAATCGTAAGACAGTTGACTTTATTGCACTGCTAAGTTGCATCATTTCTTCCATCAAACCAGTTCCTTGCTCGTGCTGGGTAACCTAAGTACTTTTTCCACCAGTCGATTTTTGAACTCCAAAACCCTCTTGCGTGAGCACTGCTTTCGGACTTTCCAGCTTCCCCTATTTTGGTTTCATGTGAACCCGTTTCTATTTCCGTCAACATGCCGATGATATTCTCAAGAACATCGTCGAGTGCAGATCTGCACAGGCTGCGATGCCACTTGTGACCAGGCTTGCCGAGTTTGGTGTACTCAGTCTGCACTAAGTTTGTGCATGCGCCCAGGAATCACCCGTCACAGGTATCCCGGTGCATACCCACCTGAACAGGTTGACGACAGCCCTGCCTCCCGCGCATTCGTTTGGCTACCATTGTGATAGTAACAATAATAATGTATCTCATACAACATAAGTTACACGAAAGCAAACCGGTTTACAGGTTTGATCATTTTGGTAACGTAAACTGACTGTTATGCACAGTGTCAAGCTATACAATAGACACCGGTTTTGCCGGTACACAAAAGATGCGTCTGGAGAAATAATGTTAGTGCCTCGCAGATAGCAAAAAATGAAACAGATAAATACCAGCATAACTGTTCATCATACTGAAGCAAGCTTAGTTCAGAAGTAGGAAACATTCGGCTATTGTTTGTGTGTCAATGTTCTTGAAGGTAGGGCGGGTAGTACGGCCGTGACCTTGGGCTTTGTGCGTTCGTCGTAAGATCTAGATGGCATAGTGAACGCTGATAAATTAGACTACTAGGATTCCACATGGATGAAGGATCGGTTGGTTAAACCTGAAAAATGAATAACGAAAGCGAGAGGCTGGCGAAATTCGAAACAGGAACACAGAAATACTGCGCAGAAATATATCCAACAAGATACATGTGGGTCAGTTCATTGCACTGACCACAAAAGTTACTTGAAGAGGTATCCAAAACCTACAGTTTGGGGGTAAGCTTATGGGGAAGAAGATGAAGATGCATGCGAAAGTAGCGGAAACTAAACTGAGACCGAAGATGTCGCTATGGGACAGAGAGATCAGAGGAATTTGGACCAGCTGATAAACATATCACGATTATCGAGCTAGAGCCACCTCTCCTCATCGCTGTGAGCGCACTTCTAGATGTTGACATCATCTGCAAGCATAACGGCGAAATACTTAACCGGATTCTGCAACTAGTTCACGAACGGCCAGAAGAGAAATGAACATTGCCTTGAAATGCCATCGTGCACGCTCATCTCCACGCGGCCAAGAAACTGCTCGCCCTTGCTGTCTGCCCCACATCGCAAGGGTCCCTCGTATCCAAATAATTCTCGTAACCTAAGCAAGCCATCGTATCAAGGGATTCACTGAAGTCAACGAATGCCATATCTTTTTTAAATTTCACCTGGTAAATAACAGCCGAATACTTTCTTGCAGCGATGAAGTTTGCTGGGTGCAAGCGACAGTCCCAATGACCGTGCTTTTCCTCGGCTGAAAGCCTATTTATCTCTACCTTCTCGAGAATTCTGCCACAACCAACCTTCTCCGAAACCTCAGCCACTCTTCATCAAATAACAGATTTCAGTGCTCCTTCTTCCAGGTCGGGTAGCTAGACACCGGTTCCGGGGATTCAGGAGCAGCCCCCAGACCCTCCACACCCTAAACCCCATGTGCGGGGTGACTAGGTGACCTAACCCGGGGGCCATTTCTGGAGCTTCACAAGGGCTGTATACGA